AGGGCGGAGGCGAAGCAGCTCGCGGCAGAGCTGGGCTTCGTGCTGCCTTCCGCCTGAGCGCGGCTGCGCCTCGCTCGAAGCCCGCGGGGTTGTCCCAACGGCTTGGTCTTGCGCGCCAGCGGCTCGCGGGGTTGTCCCGACAGCCTGGCCCGCGGGGTTGTCCCAACGGCTGCGCGACGTGACCAGTAGAGAACGCGCCTGTGCTGGCCGTGGCGGCGACGGCGCCGAGGAACATCGACATGCGCGCTCATGCAACAGGAAGGGGAGGAGGTGGCGGGGCGCGGAACAAACAGGGGGGCGAGGATGGGGACAACGTAAGGAGTGGAAGGGGGGCCCGCGCCAAGGCGACAGGAAATATACGCAGAAGAGACAGCCAGGACGCCTCACCAACCACGAGGACGACGGTGATGGCTTTTTCCAGATTCGCCCAGAGGATTCTTATGTGGGGTTCTTCCGTCGGAGTAATTTTCTCTGGACACCCCGCGCAGGAACAGGAACACACACACACACACCCACTCACACTCACTCACACTCTCTCATCATCAACCTCATCAGCATCATCGATGATGCTCTCTCACATGCTTAGTCACTCACATACTCATCATCATCATCACTCGCACTCTCTCACACGCTCACGACATCATCATCATCATCATCGGCATCGGCATCATCCTCATTCAAACATCATCATCGCCACCACCACTCACAATCAATCATCATCCTCTTCACCACTCATCTTCACCACCACTCATCATCCTCATCCTCATCATCGTTGAGTAAATTGTGAGGAAGTCTCAGGCGGGAACCCCCTCCCTATGGGGCCCGCAGATCATGTTGGTAATCCGAGCGGGTCATCGGAAACCTGTAACTGTCGTCACTTTTGGGCCCGTCAAGCCTGAAAATGGAGGAAGTCTCAGGCGGGAGCCTCGTCTGTGAGTGAATTGGGAGGAAGTCTCAGGCGGGAGCTCCCTCCCTATGGGGCCCGCAGATCATGTTGGTAATCCGAGCGGGTCATCGGAATCCTGTAACTGTCGTCACTTTTGGGCTCCTCAGTTCGGAATTTGGAGGACGTCTCAGGCGGGACCTCGTCTGTGATGAAATTGGGAGGAAGGCTCAGGCGGGAACCCCCTCCCTTTGGGGTTTGCAGATCATGTTGGTAATCCGAGCGGGTCATCGGAAACCTGTAACTGTCGTCACTTTTGGGCTCGTCAAACCTGAATTTGGAGGAAGTCTCAGGCGGGAGCCTCGTCTCTGAGTGAATTGTGAGGAAGTCTCAGGCGGGAACCCCCTCCCTATAGGGCCCGCAGATCATGTTGGTAATCCGAGCGGGTCATCGGAATCCTGTAACTGTCGTCAATTTTGGGCTCCTCAAACCTGAATATAAAGGAAGTCTCAGGCGGGAGCCTCGTCTGTGAGTGAACTGCGAGGAAGTCTCAGGCGGGAACCCACTCCCTATTGGGCCCGCAGATCATGTTGGTAATCCGAGCGGGTCATCCAAAACCTGTAACTGTCGTCAATTTCGGGTTCTCGCGCTGCCAGAACGCAGCTCCCAGGCCACATTTTGGACGCAACAAGGAAGTTTTTGGGCTCCTCAGGCCTGAATTTGGAGGAAGTCTCAGGCGCGAGCCTCGTCTCTGAGTGAATTGCGAGGAGCCAACTGTAGGCCACTTGTGTTCGTCGTGTTCACAGAACGCTATTCCCGGCACGCATCCACTGGGACGCACCCCTGTGCGCTTCCTGTGGGTCGTGCCCCCGCACGTATCCACTGGGACGCACCCTTGTGCGCTTCCTCTGGGTCGTGTCCCTGGCACGTATCCACTGGGACGCACCCCTGTGCGCTTCCTCTGGGTCGTGCTCCAGCACGTATCCACTGGGACGCACTCCCGTGCGCTTCCTCTGGGTCGTGCCCCGGCACGTATCCACTGGGACGCACTCCCGTGCGCTTCCTCTGGGTCGTGCCCCCGCACGTATCCACTGGGACGCACTCTTGTGCGCTTCCTCTGGGTCGTGGCCCGGCACGTATCCACTGGGACGCACCCCTGTGCGCTTCCTCTGGGTCGTGCCCCCGCGCGTATCCACTGGGACGCACCCTGTGCGTTTCCTCTGGGTCGTGTTCGGCACGTATCCACTGGGACGCACCCCTGTGCGCTTCCTCTGGGTCGTGCCCCGGCACGTATCCACTGGGACGCACTCCTGTGCGCTTCCTCTGGGTCGTGTTCCGGCACGTATCCACTGGGACGCACTCTGTGCGCTTCCTCTGGGTCGTGTTTTGGCACGTATCCACTGGGACGCACTCCCGTGCGCGTCCTCTGGGTCGTGCTCTGGCACGTATCCACTGGGACGCACTCCCGTGCGCGTCCTTTGGGTCGTGCTCCGGCACGTATCCATTGGGACGCTTCACAGTTCGATCTACATTCGTGCTTTTGAAGCAGGAAACTATGCCCTTTTTTGCCCACATCCAAAGTGGGGTTCTTGTTTTCTCTGGACACCCCGCGCAGGAACAGGAACACACACACACACACACCCACTCACACTCACTCACACTCTCTCATCATCAACCTCATCCGCATCATCGATGATGCTCTCTCACATGCTTAGTCACTCACATACTCATCATCATCATCACTCGCACTCTCTCACACGCTCACGAACATCATCATCATCATCATCGGCATCGGACAATAATACTCATTTCAAACTATTTCATCATCGCCACCACCACTTCACAATCAAATTCATTCATCCTCATTCTACCACTCATCTTCACCACCACTCATCATCCTCGTCCTCATCATCGTTGAGTAAATTGTAAGGAAATCTCAGGCGGGAACCCCCTCCCTATGGGGCCCGCAGATCATGTTGGTAATCCGAGCGTGTCATCGGAACCCTGTAACTGTCGTCACTTTTGGGCTCCCCAGGCCTGAAAATGGAGGAAGTCTCAGGCGGGAGCCTCGTCTGTGAGTAAATTGGGAGGAAGTCTCAAGCGGGAGCTCCCTCCCTATGGGCCGAAGATTCATTTGGCGAAATCCGAAAAGCGGGTTCATCGGAATCCTGTAATGTCGTCACTTTTGGGCTCCTCAAGCTGAATTTGGGGGAAATACAGGCGGGAACTCGTCGGTGAAGTATAGTGAATTTCTGAGGATGGCTCAGGCGGGAGCCCCCTCATTATGGGGCCCGCAGATCATGTTGTCCGAGGGTGACAGTTTCATGGAATCCTGTAAGTCCTGTAACTGTCGTCACTTTTGGGCTCCCCAGGCCTGAAAATGGAGGAAGTCTCAGGCGGGAGCCTCGTCTGTGAGTAAATTGGGAGGAAGTCTCAAGCGGGAGCTCCCTCCCTATGGGGCCCGCAGATCACGTTGGTAATCCGAGCGGGTCATCGGAACCCTGTAACTGTCGTCACTTTTGGGCTCCCCAGGCCTGAAAATGGAGGAAGTCTCAGGCGGGAGCCTCGTCTGTGAGTGAATTCTGAGGATGGCTCAGGCGGGAGCCCCCTCCCTATGGGGCCCGCAGATCATGTTGGTAATCCGAGCGGGTCATCGGAATCCTGTAACTGTCGTCACTTTTGAGCTCCCCAGGCCTGAAAATGGAGGAAGTCTCAGGCGGGAGCCTCGTCTCTGAGTGAATTGTGAGGAAGTCTCAAGCGGGAGCCCCCTCCCTATGGGGCCCGCAGATCATGTTGGTAATCCGAGCGGGTCATCGGAACCCTGTAACTGTCGTCATTTTTGGGCTCCTCAAGCCTGGATTTTTGGAGGTAGGGGTCTCAGGGCGGTTTGGTCCAAGGGCGAGGCGATAGCAGCTGCGGCAGAGGGGGCTTCGGGCTGGTTGCCTTACGCATTTGCCTGGAGCGCGGCTGCGCTCGCTCCGAAGCCCGCGGGGTTGTCCAAACGGCTTGGTCTTGCGCGCCAGCGGCTCCGCGGTGGTTTGTTCCGACAGCTGGCCCGCGGGGTTGTCCCAACGGCTTGGTCTTGCGCGCCAGCGGCTCGCGGGGATGTCCCGACAGCCTGGCCCGCGGGGTTGTCCCAACGGCTGCGCGACGTGACCAGTAGAGAACGCGCCTGTGCTGGCCGTGGCGGCGTCGGCGCCGAGGAACATCGACATGCGCGCTCATGCAACAGGAAGGGGAGGAGGTGGCGGGGCGCGGAACAAACAGGGGGGCGAGGATGGGGACAACGTAAGGAGTGGAAAGGGGGGCCCGCGCCAAGGCGACAGGAAATATACGCAGAAGAGACAGCCAGGACGCCTCACCAACCACGAGGACGACGGTGATGGTTTTTTCCAGATTCGCCCAGAGGATTCTTATGTGGGGTTCTTCCGTCGGAGTAATTTTTTTTCCTTCCTGGGCCTTCGACTTCCCCCCCCCACTTCCCATATTCTCCGATCTTTTCCCGGGAATCGATGACTCATGGTGTCTGTGTGTTCTTCTCCTCCTGATCCTGGCCGACTCCACAAATCGGCGACTCCGAAGGGTGTGGTTTGCACAAGGTGTGGTTTACAACCGGCACCCTGGGGGCACCCTGGGGGACACCCTGGGGGGCGGGCGGGGACCTCGATCGAGCTCTCCGCCGCGCCCAGAGGAGGCCCGACGATGACAGTGTCGTACCCCTAGGCCCCAACGGCGCCGATCGCAAACCACACCCCGGCGTAACCACACCCTTTGTAGTCGCCGAACCAACCCTGGACCAAAACATGCTGACATCTCTCGGCCATGCGACGGCTCGCGCCGGCCTGTCGCCGGCCAAGGCGCCCTCGTTTCGCGCCGTCGACCCCCGAAGGTCTCGACCCAACCCCCTCCTCCTCCTCCTCCTCCTCCTCCTCCTCCTCCTCCTCCTCCTCCTCCTCCTCCTCCTCCCCCTGGGGCAAGTTTTTCATCCCGAGCCGGTTTTTCACGGCCCCGAGGCCCGGCAGGGTCCCCCAGAGGCCGAAGGCAGCGACAGACCTCCCGTCGTGATCTCTTTTCAGGACTCGAGGGGGTCTGGGCTCAAGACTCCTGCTCCCCGGGCCTCCTGCGATGGCCACGGCGTTGAGCGGAGGGCAGAACTCGTCTGGCTCGGGCTCGTCGGAGGGCTCCCTCTCCGCCTCGGCCTCCAGGCCAGGGGCTCTCTCGGAAGCTCTGGGGAGGAGGGAAATCAAGAGGGACGTGACGGGAGGAACCGAACGAGGTGCACGGGGGAGAACAAAAAGAACGGGAGGAGGGGGCAGGGGTCGAGGTGGGAGAGGAGATGGGAGAGGGAGCGAAAACAGGGGAGGAGAGAGGAGACAAGGGGGGAGGGAAGGTGGGCACGGAGAGGATGGGTGGAGGTTTAGCGACCGCTTCTTCTGCACTTTGGCCGCTTACCCGAGCTGCCAACTTCTCCGAACGATCGTCCAACGCCAACTGCAACCAGCTCACCGCTGCCCCGCCTATCCAAAGCAACCGCTCGGGATTAGTTGCTTCAAACAGAATGACGGGGAGAGCTGTTGACGTGGACGGGAACCGAAGCGACTGCAAAGCGGTGCGGCGGCTTGGCTGGAAGACTGGCGCAGAGGGCCAGGCGGAGGAGGAGGTTTGAGCCGAAAAGGGCTAGAAGCCGTCGAACGAGAGACAGAGAGAGAGAGAGAGAGAGAACGAAGGAAAGAAAGCAGAGGCCATCTAGATGGGGTCCCCAGTAGATGGAGTCGAAAGATCGCGCCGCATCGCCATTGCATCACCGATGTATCGGCGATGCATCGGCGACGTCGGCGATGCATCGGCGACGTCGGCGTGGGAAAGCAAGGGCTCTACATCGAGCCGCACTGTCGATGCATCGGCGATGCGGCGCGATCCTCCGACCCCATCTACTCGGACCCCATCTGGGAGGCCTATGTGTGTATATATATACACACTAGAACCATCGCGCGCGCTTCGTGCGCGCTCAGGTTCTAGCAGGCCCCAGACCTTGACGAATTCATTGCTACACGGGGCGGAGGCCGTATGAATCGGGTTCCCAGAAGGCCTTCTGGGAGCATGGGTTTGGGGGCGTCTTGGGGAGCCTGTTGGGGCGTGCCGTCGTCGTCGTCGTCGTCGTCGTCGTCGTCGTCGTCGTCGCCTATTGGGGCGCGCCGTCGTCGTCGTCGTCGTCGTCGTCGTCGTCGTCGTCGTCGTCGTCGTCGTCGTCGTCGTCGTCGTCGTCGTCTTCGTCGTTTCGTCGTCGTCGTCGATTCAAGAGGGCACTTGTGGCAACTTTGTGCGAAACGATCTGCGGAGGGCCGCGAGAAGGCGATCAATCATGTTCCCAATCAACTTCCCAGACAGCTCTCCTGTAGCATGATGGTACTTCGAAGCCTCCGGAGACTCGCGGGCCCATGATGAACCATGTCCCTGGAAGGCTTTCTGGGGACATGGTTTGTTGGGGTGTGTTGGGGGGTCTCTTGGGCGTTCCCTGGGGGCCCAATGGGAGCCTCCAGGAACTCTCGGGCCCATGATGAACCATGTCCCCGGAAGGTTTTCTGGGGACATGATTTCTTGGGGTGTGTTGGGGGGCCTCTCGGGCGTTCCCTGGGAGCCCCTTGGGGGTCTCTTGGGGCTTCCTGGGGGCCTCTTGGGTCACGGGGCTTCGTGGGAGCCTCTTGGTGGCCTCCGGGGGCCTACAGGCGGCCTCTAGGGCCAGAGACATCGAAATATCGGTTGGCGGTCCCCCGCTGGGCCCTCTCTTGGGGAACTCTTGGGGCACAGTTGGGTTGTTTGGGGAGCCTCCTGGGCCGTCTTGGGGCCCTCTTCCTTGGAGCGATCTGAAGGGTCTCCGAGCGAGGCCGTGAGGGAGCGCTGGGAAGCGGGGAAAAGCGAGAACGCCTAAATCCTTCAAAAATCATCGGAAAAAATTGTGAATCTTGCCTCCCAGGGCCCTCTTGGGGAGCCTCTTGAGTCCGTCCTGGAGCGTGTTGGAGTCCTCGTCGGCTGTCTTGAGGGGCAGCTTGGGCGTCTTCGTCGGAGCCTCTTGGGACCGTCTAGGGCCCTCTCGGGACCTTCGTTAGCCTGTCGTGGCCTGCTTCGGGGCGGGCCCGGGCCGCCTCGGGACCCCTCTGGGCCTTCTCTTGGCGATCTCTTGGGGCACACTTGGGTTGTCTGGGGAGCATCCTGGGCCGTCTTGGGGCCCTCGTCGGGGCCTCGTGGGCCTTCTTGGAGCGATTTGAAAGGCCTCCGAGGCCGTGAGGGAGCGCTGGAAAGCGGGAAAAGCGAGAACGCCAAAATCCAAAACACTCGGAAAACGAGTGAATCTTGCCTTCCAGGGCCCTCTTGGGGAGCCTCTTGAGTCCGTCCTGGAGCGTGTTGGAGTCCTCGTCGGCTGTCTTGAGGGCATCTTGGGCGTCTTCGGGGCCTCGTGGGACCGTCTTTTGGGTCCTCTCGGGACCCCCTTAGCCTGTCGTGGCCTGCTTCGGGGCGGGCTCGGGCCGCCTCGGGACCCCTCTGGGCCTTCTCTTGGCGCGCTCTTGGGGCACACTTGGGTTGTCTGGGGAGCATCCTGGGCCGTCTTGGGGCCCTCGTCGGGGCCTCGTGGGCCTTCTTGGAGCGATCTGAAGGGCCTCCGAGGCCGTGAGGGATCGCTGGAAAGCGGGAAAAGCGAGAACGCCAAAATCCAAAACACTCGGAAAACGAGCGAATCTTGCCTTCCAGGGCCCTCTTGGGGAGCCTCTTGAGTCCGTCCTGGAGCGTGTTGGGGTCCTCGTCGGCTGTCTTGAGGGCATCTTGGGCGTCTTCGGGGCCTCGTGGGACCGTCTTGGGCCCTCTCGGGGCTCCCTTAGCCTGTCGTGGCCTGCTTCGGGGCGGGCTCGGGCCGCCTCGGGAGCTCTGGACCCCCCCCGCAACGCAACCCCCGGTGGGCAGCGATGGGGGGAACAAGCAACGGCCCGCCCCACCCCCGGGGGCCTACTCCGAGATAGGGAATCATGTTCCCGGGAAGCTTTCCGGGAGCATGATTTGTTCGGAGCTTTAAGAGGGGAACCTCTGGGGGCTTTCCAAGGGGCGCCTTTTGGCCTTGTCGGCAAGCCTATTGGAAACATGGTTGGGGCGGTGGGCGGAAGCCCAAGGAATCATGTTCCCGGAAAGCTATCTGGGAAATACGATTTACCGAAAGATCTTGGGGGACCGCAAGGGGCTTCCCTGGGGGCCCCTTGGGGGCCTATTGGGGCTTCCGGGGGGCCTCTTGGGAGCCTCACGGGGCTTCGTGGGAGGCTCTTGATGGCCTCCAGGGGCGTCCTAGGAGCCTCTCAGGCCGGAGACCTTGAAATGTCGCGCTCTTCGGGCCCTCTTGGGTCGCTCTTGGGGCTCTCTTGGGGCGCTCTCGAGGCCCTCTTGACTTATCTGGGGGGCCTCCTGGGCCGTCTCTGGGCTTTCTTGGGAGCCTCTTCGGCCGTCTTGGAGCGATCTGAAGGGCCTCTGACGCGGTCCGGGACCGTGGGGAGGCGGAACATGGGAGAGCGCAAGAATGCTTCAAAAACCATAGGAAAAAAACATGATTTTCCGCTTCTGGGGCCCTTTGGAGGGGCCTCTGGAGGCGCTCTTGGGGCGCTTTGGCGGCGTCGTCGGCCGTCCTGAGGCCATCTTCGGCGTGTCCGGGGCCTCTGGGGGCTGTCTTTGGGCGTCCGGGGAACCGGGGAATCATGTTCCAGGAGAGGCTTCCGGGAACATGATGTCGAACGAGGCCCTCTTGGGCCTCCTGGAAGCCGTCTTGGGGGCCTCCTGGGCCGGATTTGGGGCCTCTTGGGCCGTCTTGGGAGGTTCCGTGAGCCCCACAGAACGACCCTTTTGGGCCGTCTTGGGCCCTCTTGGGGCTCCTCAAACGCGTCTGGGGCACTGCGAAGACGAAACAAAGGAGTGTGCTGAATCTTACTACGGGAACGGGCTGATTTTTGCCTCTTGAGGGCCCTCTTGAGGCCCTCTCGGCCATCTTCAAGCCATCTCGGGCCCTCTTCGGCCTCGCTGAGGCTGTCCTGGGGCCCTCTAGGGGGCCCTGGGAACCCAGAAATCATGTGCCCGGGAGGCTTCCGGGAACATGATTTCGAACGGGGCCCTCTTGGGCCTCCTTGAGGCCGTCGGGGGCGGCTCCTGGGTCGGCTTCGGGGCCTCTTGGACCGTCTTGGGGTTTCCGTGAGCCCCACGGGACGACCCTTTTGGGCCGTCTTGTGCCCTCTTGGGTCTCTCTTGGGCTGTGTTGGGGCTCCGTGGGGGCGACTGGGGCACTGTGAAGACGGCCAGCGAATTTGCCGAAAATGCACGTTTTACAAAGGAAATGGGCCAATGTTTGCCTCTTGAAGGCCCTCTTGGGGCCCTCTTCGGCCATCTTCAAGCCATCTCGGGCCCTCTGGGGCCTCGCTGAGGCTGTCTTGTGGGCCTCTTGGGCGTCCTGCTGTGGTGAACTTGGGTGGTTGTAAGATTTAGCAGACTTAGCAAGTTGGTTTCGGAACTTACAAGTTGCGCTAACTGAGCGCAAGTAGTTGCAAGTACTTGCATGTTGACGTGCAGCCACTGCATTTTTAGCTCCCGAATTGTTGTTTTTTCTATGAGCGATGCGCAAGGCGAGCGACACCTGCATTGGAAAGCAATGTTTTTTGCGCTGCTGCGCATAAGCAAGCAGGTAGCAGCTCACGCGATGTCTCACCACTTGAACATGGGAGGCACTATCGCGATTGATCCGCCTCCATGGCGCCTGCATGCCTTGCAAGTCTTCGAACCTTTCTAACCAACCACAACGGACGTCCCACATCGCAAATGTCCACCATGCATTTTTCACAACTGCACGTGTGCAAAGCGGACAGTTGCTTGCAGACGGCACGCCCGTATAGTGGTGGTGATGGTTCGGGAACTTGGCAAACGCCCCGCCATGGCAGTGATGATGTCGGTCGTGTGCACCAGCTGCAAGTCGTCGTCGGTCGGGTGCACGGTCAGCACGCCGAGCCGATCATCGTAGCAAGGGGTGTCCCAGATTGAAACCAGCGATACCATCGTTCCGTTTACAGCAGCGTGAAACCAAACCTCCCCACGCGCCTTGCCACCATTGGCAACGGAGAGCAGCGCGATGTCGCGGGATTGG